ATATTATTATTACTAAGGGCCTGAGCATTTATTCTGTTTTTGAGCAATTTTTTCCGATAGAAATGTATTAAATTCCCTACTTAAAACTTTAAATGCCTTTTTCTCAAAATGAGAATTCTCCAGTACAAACGTGTCAGCCTGTGTAGCACCTGTACACCAAACTCTCCAGTTATACACTTAGCAGTATTCTGAAGATATTTTCAGAGCGATTTGTTAATCAATCATTCCTGGCCTGATTTATGTGACATTTTAACAACAAAAAAAAGTCAAAAATCTATTTTTTTTAAGGCTATGGACAGTATGTTTTGATTTCCCAGTTAATGAAAGCATATATCCTGAACTCCCTCTGAATCCCTCTGTGTGTAAACAAAATGAAAAAAGAATTTGCACCTGGCTTTATCATATGTTCAGATCTATCTACTGAAAATATATGCACAATTGCGCATATTTAATGGGATAATGCATAATTTGCATAATTAAGCATACAAATTTCAAAAACATATAATACATTTTTTTTATATGCTTGTGTAAGTAATCAACTGAGGAAGTTTCATGGTGATATCTATTATTTAAAATGTTTACCCTATTCACCTGTAGTGTCTCGCCTTAAGAAATAAATAAAAAAATGTAGCTTTTCAGCCATTTTGACAGCCCTACTCACCTGAGGAAAGTGTCCTGAAGCTGATTGGGCAGCGCGGCGAAGTCAAAGGCACAGAAGGACTGTGGGAGAAACACCTCTGTGTTCTTCTTCACCTCCACCGCCGGACTCGTCATGATGGGAGACGCACTGCCGAAGAACTGGTACGCGTATCTGCAACCAGAGGAAACCGCGTAATAATTAATTATAGGTAATACGCGTAACACTTCAGAAGAGTCCGTTCATGTTTCCGTAGGGCTGGGTATCAACTCAGATGCTCCAATTCGATTCGATTACAGATTCTCGATTCGACTCAATTTAATACAAATCCTATATTTATAAAAAAGAACAGTGAACATAAGTTTACAAGTGGTTAATTAATAAAAATAAAAAACCTGTATATTAAACTCTTTTTATGTTAGGTGCACTTGGGTACATTGTACAAATGCATACAATAAATAGACAGGATTTTGATGCAAGATGAAAAAAATGATGCTGTAAATTGGACGAGTCAGAACAGTCACATGCTTATTTTATACTTAAGATTAAACACACATAAAATCTCCCAGCATTATCTGTAACAGGAAGGCTCAAGCCTATGAACAGTGGAGGAAAACTAATACTGGCTTTTGGGTGATATATAAATAAATATGTAAAAAAAATCAATTTGTGACATTCTGAGAATCGACCACATAAAATAAAAATGCGATTAATTGAAAAATGAAGAGAAATACTTTTTCGCCATTGGCTTTTGTCTTGCTTAGTTGGGGACATTTTATTTAATATTCACCAATATAATTGACCTCCTGCATTGACAGCATTATATGAGAACTAAATTAGCTTTTTTTACAACAGAAATGAAGCATCACTGAACTGACTTAAGCTGGACTGAGACGCTATTCTCTTCTGGAAACACACTGTGCTGCATTATTGTCCTGTTATCTCTGTAAAGCTGCTCTGACACACTCTGTGCTGTAATAGCGCTGTATAAATAAGGAGACGTGAGCGGACCTGAGGATGCAGTTGACCGGGAAGCTGGTCCTGAGGTCCCGAACGCTGCGCAGGTCCAGGGAGAAGCAGAAGTGATGAGCCGACGCCGGGATCGAGATCTTAGGAGCCGAAACAGACACTGAAGAATCTGTGGCATCAGGAGCAGGAACATCTGAAAACACTACACAGATAACGATACGTGTTACTATGATGCTGTACGATCACACTGATAACACACACACACACTCACGAGTAAACAAACTACAAATGTCTTTGGAACATATGACATTTTTCTATGTATTCATTACACAAGTATTCATTACTTCAAAATATTCACCCCCTCACAGCCGTCATGAAGGGCAAAATTAGCGATATAGACCAAAACCACTTTACTGTAAACATGTGTTTTCCTGCTGTAAAGTTGGGCATTTTAACATGGAGGTCTATGGGATTAACTCTCTTCTGAAGCCGGCCTCTAGTGGCCAGTGGAGGAACTGCAGTTTAACTCACTCAGTGTTGAGAGAGAGAGAGAGAGAGAGAGAGAGAGAGAGAGAGAGAGAGAGAGAGAGAGAGAGAGAGAGAGAGAGAGAGAGAGAGAGAGAGAGAGAGAGAGAGAGAGACCAACCAGTGGAGGCCTGAAAACTTGCCATGTGTTGTGGGCGGGGCCTGTCTGTCATGATCTGTGGGCGGAGCCTGTCTGCCATATGATGTGGGCGGAGCCTGTCTGTCATGATCTGTAGGCGGGGCCTGTCTGCCATGTGCTGTGGGCGGAGCCTGTCTGTCATGATCTGTAGGCGGGGCCTGTCTGCCATGTGCTGTGGGCGGAGCCTGTCTGTCAGGTGTTGTGGGCGGAGCCTGTCTGACATCACTGGTCAGGCTCTCGGCCTCGCTCTCCGAGTGTTCAGGAGAAGCAGCCGGAGACAGAAGAGGCCGGTCATGTGACTTCCTGTCAGGTGACTTCCTGTCGGGCGACGGGCTCATCGGGACTCTGTGCTCCCCTGAGGGACGTTCACGACGGCCGGCTGGAACGGGGCCTTTCTTCACTGGAGTTTTAGGTCCGGTTTCAATGTCTAACTGTTTAAAAAAAGATCTGTTAAAACACTGAAAGAATAATATGGGTTTAGTTATCTACAGTCAAACCAAAAATGATTCAGACACCAGATATGATTTTTGATATTGTTCCACTAGTGTGATCAGGACACTATAGTTCATTTCTGTAAGTGAGGAGAGCAGAATAAAGTAAACTGACATATTACACCCAAATATTCTTCATCCAGTGACTACCAGTAACAATGATTCCTCCACTTTGAGCTGATCATGTTTTGCTGAAGTGTGTTTTCTGTAGTTGCTAATGCTCTTTTTACACACACACACTGAACAACATGAAGCATTGCTTGGTCACTGGTTGAGCTAAACTGGTATTATCTAATTGTGGAGTTAAATTTAACAGCTGACAGATATTCAACATAATTCATGTGTGAGAGTCTAACAGAAGGACGGACAAAACCAGTCAAATATCCACTGAGTTCTGCTCAGATTTTATTACCAACTATAGCGAATAAACTGATAATGTGAGAAATGTTGAAGGTTCTGAGTATATTCTGGTTGGCCTGTATAATAACCGTGCACATGATGCGTCTCGTATGCTCCACCTGATGGGTGATATCCTCGGCTCTCAGAGTCACCGAGACGCCCACCGTGGGCTGGAGGTCCGGCGGGACCGGCTTCAGGTCCAGCTTCACCCGGTTCGGGGGCTGAAGGATGAAGGCGCCCTCTATAGTGGCCGCATGTGTGGTCAGATCAGCGCCGCTCTTCATCAAACCGGCCAGACTGACGTCAGTGCTGCCGAGAGACTGGTTTCCACAGCAGAGATGGATCTGTGCAAAACACACGCTACATCACAGCCTGTACATACATCACTATTAGTCCAGTCACATGTATTTATATAACGCTTTTTACAGCACAGTGTTTCACAACAGCTTTACAGAGATAACAGGAGAATAATGCAAGAAAGTTTGTGTCTAGAAGAAAATAGTGTCACTCCAGCTTAAGTCAGTTCAGTGATGCTTCATTTTGTTGTATAATAGTTATTAATTTAGTTCATTTATATATATATCTATAGCCGCTCTGGAGAAAACCGTGATGTCATCGTCCAGCTCAGTTCAGTTCTTGTATAATAGTGTCAATGCAGGAGATCAATAATATTGTTGAATATTAAATTAAATGTTCCCACCTAAGCAAGGCAAGCCAAAGGCGACAGTGAAGGAACCGAAACTCCATCAGTGACAGAATGGAGAAAAACTCTTGAGAAACCAGACTCGCTCAGTTCTCCTCTGGCCAATGAGCGAACAGTGTATGATTATGATTATGATTCAGGAGCATTATAAGTCTGATTCTCGATAACACGGGCCTGGTCTGTACGATGATAATCTTCACCTGGAGACACGGCTGCTGGCTGAGGAAGAGTCGGAGGACTCGGTCGCTGCTGCGGATGCGTACGGACGCTCGCTCCGGCTCGAAGTTTGGACTGATGAGGTTCTGGAACGGTTCGCTGGTGACGTCGTTCCCCAGGAGAGTGTAATAGAAGAAGAACTCGGACCCCTCAATGGACAGCTTAGTCGAGCTGGAGATCAACTGAAGAACAGAAAATGTGTATTATGTTAAGTTGTTTCAGGCTCTACTAGAACAGGTTTTCATGCATTATTTCCTCATATTCTCCATTGTTGCGGCTCCTCTCTTCCCAGTCTGTCAGTAACGCTCTGTTAACTTCCTGTCTCTATGAAGCCCCTCCTTCTGAAAGCACACTGTGCTCTGATTGGTCGGCTGGAGCAGTGTGTTGTGATTGGTCGAGCGCTTCGAGTGTGTTTGGGAAATGTCCCGCCCCTTTCCATAACCGCCAGTTTAACACACTACTAACTAACTCAACCAGGCCCCGCCCCTTTATTCTGCGCATGAATTATAATAATGAGGAATATTGTGACGTGTTCGTTCCCGGGAGAAAGACTAATGGAGGCGTTTCAGGAGTTCAGAAACACTGACACTGATATAGAGAAGAACTGGAGCTTTCTCATGATCAAACAGCAACATCACACACACTAAACACAGATGAAGATGAGGAAATCCTCTTTAAAACATCTAATACAGTAATGGGATTCATGCACCTGCTCCAGTTTAGTAGCAAACGCAACCGTCACCGACAGCACAAACATGTCAGCGCAGAGATCGTCAGGTCCGATCTGATGAAACGCTTCTTCCTCGTTCAGAACCGCAGTGAGTTTAGCAGCTTCGAGAGGAGCCAGCGCTGGAGAACCTGCGGGAGAGAGAGTTCACAGGGACGTCAACAAACCGGACAAGTTTCATCACATTCAACAGCATTAAGTTGTTTTAGACCTGGAGTTTTTACCTTTTGTTGTCATTTTAGAAACAATAATTTTACTTTTTGGAATAAATGCACTGATGAATCTTTCACCACAATACAATTACATTTTAATTTCAAGTTGATCTGAACAATGACGAACTAAACAAGCACAAACCGTGTGGAAAACAAGCATGAATGTAGGCAACTGTATATACGCACACCTTGGCAATAGAATCGCCATTGGCTAGTTATATGATTCCACCAAATCTATATTATTATTATACTATTATTTTGACAGGAAAAAACAACAAAGAATATCGTTTACATGAAGCGTGTCAATTCTGCATGGTATGTGAGACTCTCTCGCTCTCTCTCTCTGCGTGTGTGAGAAACACAGCGCTCTCAGTCTTCACACTAGAGTTTACGGTACGTCATATACAGGTATGCTGCCCATCCATTGAGCTGAATTAAAACAGTAGGCCTACAGATCGCTTGACGGAAAGCAAAACGCTCAAGCGCTCAGTCAGAGTGTTTAGCGAGTGATGTATATCTATGCTAACCTTATACTTAGCCTCTAACAAACACAGACTAAAATAAGTGTTTCCAAAGCATCGTATGTTGAACAATTAGTGCTATTCCTGGTGGATTTTAGAAGTGTGGATCTGTGCACACTCTAAAGGTTAATATTACCCACAATCCACTGCACTTTGGAGGAACTACAAACACGAGTAAAAAGTGTTAAAAAACTACAAAACATGGCGTATATGTGCGCCTAACGGTGAAAGGTTTAGTTAAATGTTTGAGTGACTAATCAGTTTATCCTGATAGAAAAATATGTATTTAAAGTTATATTTAATCTGAAATAAAAATGTGTAATAAAGATCCGTTTTAAAAGCATCATTATGATGAAAGATTCGCGACTGCAGATCAACTCGCTTCTGCATTTCTCCCGATACGGTAGGAAATTAAATGGAGGATTTTATCTTTGACAAGATGATTGACAGGTCAGTTTACTGTGACAGAGAGCAACCGTTAAAGACGCAATTGACCGTTCGCAAAGACCCGCCCCCTTTAGTTACTGTTGCTATGTCCGACAAGCCACGCCCACTCTCACACACCATGTTCTCACACAGCGAAACACACATCGCAGAGCAGAGAAACACTGACAACACACTGAGACAGGACAGACCAGCTTACTTTTGAGTCTCAACTTTCAAATTTGGTCATTTTTTTAAAAAGAAATTTAAACAATAAATACCGTTTTGTGGCTCTTTAATGTGTCTGACAGATCGCCTCAGTTAAAGCGGCTCGTGAACCGATCATCTCTTCCTTCTAGTTCAGTTAAAGCATCAAATAAACATAAGAATGTTGTTTTAACCGTGGAAAGACGTCAGTACACTTAGTTTTTCAAGTTCAAATCCTCCAACGTTAATCTACTAACTCTCCTGACTGCAAAAATGGCGGATTATGATTGGTCAGATCGCCTGTCAATCAAACTCCCTGCGAAGGGTCAATTGTATGACGTGATAGTTTGTGCCAAAGCTTGTCTACTCTTCTGCTGCACACTCAAAAGTATGCACTTTTTCTTCACAAAAGGAGAACATACTTTTAGGGCGTAGTATGAGTGGGCGAACCGAGACGCAGCTTCAGTCTCATATGCGAGAGGGTTAGTGGGACATGAAGCTTCGCAGCCGGTCAACAGAAGCAGAGAACATGAGGGCGATGGAGGACATGAACATTAGACGTGTACCTGCTCTCGGCGGAGCTTTCTTGGCCTTGAACGTCTCCGCGGTTGGCTTCATGTCGTTCTCTAGGATCACCCCGATCAGGAGGGCGGGTTTGAGTTTCGTGTATTTGCTGCTGAGCAGAGGATGCCATTTAGGAGCCTGAAGAACACACACACACACACACGGGTTACAAACACAGACACAACTACTGAGAAGGAAAACCTACACTGAAAGAGTCTCATCTGCTCACCAAAGCTGTTTTATTGGATCAAAAATACAGTAAAAATAGTAAAATATATATTATTATACAGTAAAGTGTAATTTATTCCTGTGATTTTCAGCATCATTACTCCAGTCTTCAGTGTCACATGATCCTTCAGAAATCACTCTAATATGAGGATCTGATGCTCAAGAAACATTTATGATTATTATCAATGTTCATATTTTTGTGGAAACTGATACATTTGATTTCTCAGGATTCTTTGATGAATTGAAAGTTCAAAAGAACAGCGTTTATTTTAAAGGCACACTATGCAAGAATTGCGTGAGTGGTTTTTACGACAGTAACATTAAATACAAGTACTTCAGGGCGACTCTAGGGGGCGCTGTTTGACTAAAACAGAATTCCTGCATAGTGTGCCTTTAAATAGAATCTTTTGTAACATTATAAATGTCTTTACTGTCACTTTTGATCAATTTAACATGTTGTTGATGAATAAAAGTATTAATTTATTTTTTAAAAACTTTTACTGACCCCAAACTTTTGAACTGAAGTGTATTTTATATTATATCCCAGCGAACAGGAGATTCTCGGAACGTGGCAGGATTCTCTGCTTCACGTTCTTCTAGTGACGTCGATATAATGTTTGCTTAAGGTCTTTAATAATGTTCTCTAAACTTTAGCACAAAAACATTATTTATACATTTGCTGCTCAAGAAACATTTATGTTACGTTTGTGTTGCTTAATATTTTTTTAAACCAAACCAGGATTCACTACTGTTCAAAAGTTTGAGGTTAAGAAAATGTATATTCAACAAAGACACATTAAATTGACCAAAAGTGACAGTAAAGACATTTATAACGTTACTAAAAGATTTTATTTAAAATAAACGCTGCGTTCTATTCATGAAAGAATCCTGAGAAATAAAATGTATCTTGGTTTTCATAATAATCATAAATGTTTCTTGAGCATCAGATCCTCATATTAGAGTGATTTCTGAAGGATCATGTGACACTGAAGACTGGAGTGATGATGCTGAAAATCACAGGAATAAATTACACTTTACTGTATATTCACATTGTGATAATGATATGTCAGTTTTTCCTGTGTAAAGTCTTGAGACTCTTTCAAACACATTTAAAATTCTTAACGATTCCAAAGTTGAAAGATCATCATAACCTGGCATGGAGGGACTCAATAACTAGGGGCCGACCGATATGTGATTTTCAGGGCCGATGCCGATTCCGATTATTACAGGTCAAATAGACCGATAACCGATATTTTGAGCCAATATATATATATATATTATAGCTATGTCTGGTGTAAAACTGTAAATTAATGTCAAAATTAAGAATAACAAAGGGTTTTGACAAATACTTTCTTTAAATGATTTTAAACATATCTTTGAATCTGAGAACTGTTATTAATAATAATAATAATAACTTGTAAAAAGTGCAGGGAGCACCCAGCAGCATTCTGTAAACATTTTGTAAAACTTAAAGACTCTATTTTAATTTTTAAATAAAATTTTAGTAATCAAAAAGCATTTCTAATGAATTAAAATCAAACTTATTCAATTTATTTACAGTTTAACAAAAATGTAATTTTTAGGGCCTTGTGAACTTTTATTTTGACGGGTTGCCGTGGAGATCTTTGAGTTTCTGTGTGTTTATGATATGTCGATAACTTTTCTCAGTTGAAGCATTAAAAAGCTCATGAAGTGGCTAAGCGGCTCTGGAGATGATGTTTATGCAATCATGTCCTCCTATAATGATGCGGCTGAGGCTGAAAACAGCGCAAGCGTCACGCGTGCTCCAGTGTGTGTGTGTGTGTGTGGTAACTGAAATCACGCGTCTCTGCGCCATTCATTGAACGTTAGAGACACGCAGGATTCATATTTAAATAGTCTTTTTGCGGTTTGATTTGTACTGACCTGCTTTTTATTAATTCATCAAAAAGTTGACAAATTCCGTGATATTCCGCTTTATACAGTAAATTCCGTTTTTATGACTGGATTCCGCGACTCCGTCTGTTCTGCATCGCGGAAATCACAGGGCTCTATTATATTGAGGTATTTTGCAACTTCAGTGTAGTAATCTATTGCTTCTTCAGCAAAGTCTGCTGCTGCCTTGACTTTGAGAGACAACTGAAGCGTGATCAGTGAAGCAGCTCTAGTCAGCGAGTGCTCTCTCGGTGTGAGAGTGCAAAACTTTCAGTGCCTCAGCTTTCCGCGCTGATTGGCCGGACTCGTGACTCCAAACAAATCAGATGTGCGGGGACATTAGTCTAGTCTACAGAGTGGTGAGTTCCGACAAAGGTGGCTGCGTCAGAGCCAAATATAGCGCATTTCAAAATACAATTATTTTATCGGCAAATCGGTTTTGAAAATGGCCGATACCGATAACCATAAAAATGCTTAATATTGGCGCCGATAATCGGTCGACCCCTATCAATAACTACACAATGGTGATGTAATTTACTCTGCGTTTTTTGTTGATAATGTACTTTAATGTTTATTTTGTAGAGAATTTAAATGAATCGCCGCCTGGGCACTTTGTATCAGCTCAGATGCGGCAACTATGTCTAAACCCTCAAAAAAAAGATATTCCAAGTAGGCACTCGAATAATGTTGAAAACGTCAAAAAGCCTTTATTTCATCATGGCTAAACCCTGTCAATGTCAAAAGCTTGAACAAAAAGAGTTAAAATGCGGAGACCAGCGTGCCGTGTCCCTGCTGACCTGCTTGATGTCCTGCACGGATCTCAGCTCGAGGACGATGTATCCCACGCTCTCTCTGGCACCCGAGCCGGAGTCCACGGCGTAACACTGCAGCTTGATGGGAGTCCTCTGGAGCCTGTGGGAATCAGACCGAAGGCGTGTTTCCATTAGCCTTCACATTAAAACAACTAAACTTCTAAAGACTAAACTGGGAAGGGTCACAGCACTTACATATTGTTAGTTTCACTGCTTCTATTGCTCTCCTCATATGGAAGTCGCTTTGGATAAAAGCGTCTGCTACATGATTAAATGTAAATTGCGCAAATTGAAATTGCGGATTGAAAATACGCCCAATGGAAACACGTCGATTTCGCATGAGGAGGTTTTTCAGGCAATTCGAAAAAGGAATATTTCACAAAACTGCAATGGAAAAAGTTTCTGCGCATTTACAGTCACATGACGCTGACGTACGTAAAGTTGATCATTCTTTAACGCAGGCGAGGTGTGTTTGGACAGAATACGAGACAGAGTTCTTTATTAAAAAACACACCTGTGCTGGTGCAAACACACACACACACACACACACACACACACAGACACACCTGTGCTGGTGCATACACACACACACACACACACACACACACCTGTGCTGGTGCAAACACACACACACACCTGTGCTGGTGCAAACACACACACACACCTGTGCTGGTGCAAACACACACACACACACACCTGTGCTGGTGCAAACACACACACACACACACACACACCTGTGCTGGTGCATACACACACACACACACACACACACACACACACACCTGTGCTGGTGCAAACACACACATACACACACCTGTGCTGGTGCAAACACACACACACACACACACCTGTGCTGGTGCATACACACACACACACACACACACACACACACACCTGTGCTGGTGCAAACACACACACACACACACACACACCTGTGCTGGTGCAAACACACACACACACACACACACACACACACACACACACACCTGTGCTGGTGCAAACACACACACACACACACACACACCTGTGCTGGTGCAAACACACACACACACACACACACACACACACCTGTGCTGGTGCAGCGTCCGCCGGTCGAGCTCCCAGGCCAGTTCAGTGCAGAACTGTGGATGTTCTCGATGCTCCACCGCGTCTGTGGCCAAAGTCTCTCCGTCGAAACGAGCCTCAACGACCAGAGAGAGCCGAGGACTTCTGGGAAACTGGCGGCCTGGAGACACACACACACATCAGATCCTCAGCGTCACTCTACACCGCTTCAAACCAGCAAGTATAGCACACCTATATTGCTATTTTGATTAAATAATCCTGATATAGAAGCAAATAAAGTGAGAGACTGTACATGTAATATACATTTATGCAACTGTTATGCTCTGGCGTTTGCAGATATGAGCATCTCTAAGCATAGCGGACTCTGGATTCAAATCAAATGGTAACACTTTACAATAAGATTACATTTTTAGCATTAACTAAGGTTAATACATGTATTGTTAGTTTGTTAATTTCAACATTTACTAATACCTTTTAAATTGAGTTTAATTTTTATTTTATCCCAAGTACTATGAACTAACATGAATGATCAAGGTACAACTGTCTTGCTCAAATATTAAATGTATGCTGTAAAAAATAAAAAGTCTGTAGAACTTCTCATTTTAATATATTCATATTTATATATTTATTTAATTTAGCACATTTCACTTCAGCACTGTTTTACTTGGAGTGTTTTTATTTTTTAAATCCAGTATCTATTTTAAAAATATCGGTTGAATAATTGGTTATTGGCTCGTTATCAAACCTAAATATCGGCATCGGTAAAATACACTATCGGTCGACCTCTAACATACATGATACTTCATCGTACTATAGAGAATACTATGGTATTACCGTTTTAATTACACCGATTGTACTTTTATTAATGACATATTTATTAGCATAATAGACATTTAAGTAATTTTAGAATTAAGGAGTGGTCATATTCCTAAATAAAAAGTTGAAATTCTGACTTTAATGTCATAATTATCACATAGGAATTCAAAATTATGACATATTAAATCAAAATGATGACGAAAATTTTAAATTATGAAACATGAAGTCATAACTATGATATTAAAAACAGTCAAAATTGAAATTCTGACTTAAATGTCATCATTGACATAAAAAATCGTGAAAATGACACGCGCCGAAATTCTGACTTCAATCATTTTCCTAAATAAAATGTTGAAATTCTGACTTTAATGTCATAAAAAGTCAAAATTGGCTTAAAATGTCACTGTCAAAAAGTCACATAACTTACCTGGTGCTTCACCGTACTATATTAGAGAATACTGTGGTATTACTATATTAATTGCACCGCACCGATTGTACTTTAATTAATTACATATTTATCAGCACATTTAAATCATTTTAGGACTAATGTGCGTGTAATGCCTCGAGAGAACACGTGACTGATATGATTTAACACCATTAATCGTTAATATGACACCGTATTCGCTTTGTTTGTATCGCAGGAGTCTTGAGTCATAAACCTGTTACCTTCAAGAATGGAAACTACAATCAGCAGCTGCTCTGCTTTCGACGCCATGTCATCTCATGTGTTAATTAAAGACACTCATAATGATTCAGAGCTGATTTCATCTGTTGTTTACTTTCAGCGCGTCTGTTGTGTTCAAATAACGACGGCAACTGTCAGTCTGCGTCACTTCCGCCGGAAACAGCAGCGTGTTTGTGCGTGACTCGCGCTCCCCCTGTAGGACGGATAAACACATCACACACGGATCACACATTCACTAATAACTAATCTTTTGTCTTTTATTGAAGATAAATAGATGGACGGATCATTCCCGCCACATAAGATAAAAGGCTTGTGTAGATCATAATTATGTTGAATTCATAACAAGTTTGTGAGATGAAATTGAAAACTCGAAATAATGACACTTAATTTATGAGATTAAATAAATAAAAAAACCTCGAAATTGACAAAGTGTCAAAATTATGGCATACTAAGCCGAAAATATGATATACAAAGTATATTAAAAAGTTAAAATGCGGACTTGAATGTCATAATTATGATTTTTTTTTTAAATTAAAAATATGACATACAAGTCGACAATATGACTTTAAAAGTCATAGTCTTAAATAAAAAGTTGAAATTCTGATTTTAATGTAGGCTTATAATTTTGACATAAAAATTTGAATTTATTACGCTTATGAGATAAAGTTGAAAACTAAAATTATGACTTTAAAAGTCAAAATTATTATATAAAAGGTATATTTAAAAAGTTAAAATTCTGACTTAAATGTCATAATTATGAAAGAAAAATTATAAAAATGACAGTCAAAAATATGACTCACGCCGAAATTATGCCAAGTCAAATTATGACTTAAAAAGTGATATTTAAATAAAGAGTTGCGATTCTGACTTTAATGTCATATTTATGACGGAAATGCAAGATTATGACATAAAAAACATAACTAATTCAAAATGATGACAGTCAAAATGATGAAATATGAAGTCATAATTATGTTATTAAAAAGTCTAAATTCTTAAATAAAAAAGTTGAAATTCTGAATTAAATGCCATAATTGACATAAAAATCATAAAAATGACTCGTAAATATGACACGCCGGAATTATGACATACAAGTCTAAATTATGACTTAAAACGTTATATTCTTAAATAAAAATGTGGAATTCTGACTTTAATGTCATAATTTTGACATAGAAATCCAAGCATATGACATAAAAACAAAATTATGACATAGGCTAAGTCGAAATGATGACAAAAAAGTAAAAAAAAAAAAAATCAAAATTATATATTAAAAAGTCATATTCTTAAAATAACATCATAAAAGTCGATTTGTCTTAAAATGTCACCGTCAAAAAGTCAATCTCATAATTTCGACTTTTAAACCTCACAAGTATAAATTGCTCATAATTATGAGCTCATATGTCACAAGTCTGACTGTTTATCTCATAATCATGAGGCGTTTCACACACACACACACACACACACACACACACACACACACACACACACACTCCGCACTGGAATCATTCCCACAGGACTAGACGGATAAAAACAACCTTGACTGTTTATTTGGATCGCCAAACATGTTAAGGCAGAGACAGTATAAAAAGCAACTGCGGGTTTGATGATCCAGCAGACATGAAGAAAAGCTGAGGAACCACTGACGCTCTGTCCAGAAATCCTCTCGTAAACATGATGAGTTATCATCCTCATCATCATCATCTTCATCACTAGGGAACAGCGGCCACACATTGCACTCATCGATACAAAGGTACATAAGCTCGTTATAGTCGCTTCGGTAAACTGTACAACTGTACATCACGATAATACTGTATGGCACTGAGATGAGCAGTCGATGAACATCCACTTTACACGATACAATAGATTAATGGCTGTTAATAACAGTATATTCATGTTAATAAGTCAATGCAGAGCGAGCCACCGTACTTACAGTCACTTGTAATCTATTGCAACCCGTCCTTTAGAGGTGAAGAGAGAGCAAATACATTCAACATTATGGTTACACAACGATATAAGTGCATACAAACAGCAAGATGGAGCATTTACAGGCTTTCTTCACTGCAAACTCCTCCGTTCCTACATTCATGAAACCATCCGCGTTCCCAGAGGAGAACACACGGAGTCGGTGTGTGTGTGTGTGTGTGTGTGTGTGTGTGTGTGAGTCCTCGTGTGCGTCGGGAACGTCTCACATCTTACCCTCGTTTTCTGTGGAGATTAAACTGACGGTCAGGAACACACACACAATCAGAGTCTCTCATAGCATTAGTTGTGTTGTTGTTCATGGAACTTTTGTAAACGTTAAGTTTCAGAGAACGTTCAAAAGTGACGTTTGCATAATCAAATACAGTTCCCTTGACACTCGAAGAATTTTTTTTTTTAAAACATTAAAAACTTAAAATTATAACAAAAATTCAAAATTATGACATACTTAATCGAAATTATGATATAAAAAGTATATTAAAAAGTTAAAATTCTGACTTAAATGTCATAATTATGACAGAAAATTCAGTCATAAATATGACTCACGCCGAAATTGTGACATACAAGTCAAATTATGACTTAAAAAGTGATATTATTAAATAAAGAGTTAAACTCCTGACTTTAATGTCATATTTATGACATAGAAATTCAATATTATGACATAAAAAGACAATTATGACTAAGTCGAAATGATGACAGTCAAAATGATGAAATATGAAGTCATAATTATGTTATTAAAAAGTCTAAATTCTTAAATAAAAAGTTCAAATTCTGAATTAAATGACATAAATGACATAATCAATAATAAAATCATAAAAATTACATAAAAAGACAAAAATATGACACACATCGAAATTATGACTTTAATGTAATAATTTTTACATAAAAATTAGAATTTATTACGTTTATGAGATGAAGTTAAATGAAGACTAAATTATGACTTAAAAAGTCGAATTTATGACATAAAAAGTATATTTAAAAAGTTTAAATTCTGACATATTAAGTCGAAATAATGATATAAAAATCATTGAGAATGTTCAAAAGTAACGTTTGCATAATCAAATATAGTTCCCTTGACACTCAAAGAAAGTGTTTTTTAAAAACATTTTAAAAAATGGAAATTAAAAACTTGAAATTATTACAAAAATTCAAATCGAAAATGAATTATGATTATGATATAAAAACTATATTAAAGTATATTAAAAAGTAAAAAATATGACATACACATCAAAATTATGACAAAAATTCCAAATTATGACATGCTTAATCAACATTATGATATAAAAAGTATATAAAAAAGTTAGAATTATGACTTAAATGTCATAATTATGACATAAAAATCATAAAAATTACATAAAAAAAGACAAAATACACATCGAAATTATGACTTTAATGTAATCATTTTGACATAAAAATTTGAACGTATTACGTTTATGAGATGAAGTTGAAATTCTGACATAAAAAGTATATTTAAAAGGTTACAATTCTGACAAACAAAGTTATAATTATGACATAAAAAATCATAAAAATGACAGTCAAAAATATGACACGCTGAAATGAAGTCATAAATCCCTATGGGAGAAATGGATGTAAAAGCACTTGTGGGCACTAATGTTTCCTCACCGCTGGAACAGGTTTGTGTTGTCGTCACTTGCTGGTTCGCAACCAGAGCCGCTGAGCTCAAACCTGTCGGATCACAGATCACAGAACATCACAAAACACTCTTACAGGGCTCACAGTAAACACACTCTCATATTTTCATGGTGTAAGTGTGTCCAGTTAGTTTCTACACCCGGAACCGTTTTCATGAGCATTTGCCACCCCAGTGTCGGCCCAGATCCGGATTGAATCCACATGTACCGGATGTGGGCCGGATCTGGGCCGACACTGTCTGGGACTCGCTCTCTTGCTCTTAGAATTAAAAGGGTCATTTTTGGCTCCAACATATATGATATTATTAGCCACAATTATTATATATTCTCACGCATACAGCCAAGTTGTTTCTATAGATGCTGGACTGAGTTCTGAATGTTAAGGGCCCGATGTATTTCAAGCTAAACTGAAGAACAAATTGGTGTGACATCATTTCAAACAAAACCAGGGTAGATGAGTAAAATGCCATACGATATTATGTCCTGTTTTCTGGGGATATTAATCAAAATTAAGTGAGTTGTTGCTTAAAAAAAGCTAAATTATCTGCCAATGGGGTCAGAAAAATAATGTTAATTCAAACAGAAACAAGATTATTTTTCTGACCCCATTGGCCACGGAAGCGTATTGCATTTACTTGAGGAAAAAAAATCTGAATTAACGAGATAATATCTCAGAATTATGAGATAATTTTTCATGAAAAAAAAGTTTTTGCTCTGTTTTTCTCAATTAACGAGTTAATATCTCAGAATTATGAGATACATTTTTCTTGAATTTTTTTTTTCCACTTTTTCAACGTTTTTATGAATTAATGAGTTACTCATAATTTTGAGATAATTAAGTCATTAATTCAGAAAAACAGAGCAAAAACTTTTTTTCCATGAAAAATTCTCTCATAATTCTGAGATATTAACTCGTTTATTCAGAAAAACAGAGTAGATTTTTTTTCTGACCCCATCGGCTACGGAAGCGTATTGCATTCACTTGAGGAAAAAAAAAATCTGAATTACCGAGTTAATATCTCAGAATTATGAGATACATTTTTCTTGAAAAACATTTTTTTTCACTCTGTTTTTATGAATTAATGAGTTACTCATAATTTTGAGATAAGTAACTCATTAATTCAGAAAAACAGAGTAGAATTTTTTTTCTTCAAGTGAATGCAATACGCTTCCGTAGTTGGCAGATAATTTTGCTTGTTTTAAGCAAAAACTTACTTAATTTTAATTTATATCCCCAGAAAACAAGACTTAATGGCATTTTACTACTTTAGTAAAGACATCTTTATTTAAGAATTTTTAGATATTTGGACTGGAAACAAGACAAAAATACCAAGTAAGAAAAGCATGTTTTGCAGTGTAATCAGCTCAGCTTGTGCAGTATTAATAGTGTTATTAATGAATAAGTAGTAATAGTGTAGTTCAGTTGTTTTTGACCTTTTCACCTTGGAAGGGGTCGTACTGGCCAGACACCAGTGTGTAGCTCATGCCCAGGTGTGTGAGGTGATGTGTCTGGAGGTGGCGTCCGTACGGGACCGCTTCTCTCTCGCGCTCAGTGTCTCGCTCCTGCTCCGGAGATCCTCGTTCTCCCGGCTAAAGAGGGAAACACAGCGTAAACAAGCGACATTCTTCATTTGCTGCTTTGAAACAATCTGCATTGCAAAAAGCGCTATATAAATGTTTTATGTGCTTTGAAGTAGGGCTGCACAATATATCGAAATTATTGAAATATTGCAAATGTATCGCGATATGCATATCGCAACGGCTTGCAATAACTGTGGTCATGAACTCGCTGCTCTCGGCTGAATAACTTTTGTAGCTTTAATAAGAATCAGGATATATTTCATTCATACAGTGCAAACGAAGCAGTGTTTGTTTTTACATGTGATTATTCAGTTTCTGTTGTTTAATAACACTAATGTAGGATAACTGAACCCCTGAACACACTGATGTTAATAACACTTCTTATGCGACAGTTAAACACTGTTCACTTCCAGGATGTTTTCTTGTCACAAAAAGAATGTGAAAATTTTAAATATATTTTAAGACAATTTAAGTTTATTTTACACACTTCGTATCGCATATCGAAAATCGCATTATTTAATGAGTTATCGCATTTTTCTTCAATATCACAAAGCCCTAAAAGCCATACGCTCTTTAAAATAAAGGATCCAAAAGGGGTTTGAAAAGGCAAAACACACAATGTTTTTAAGTCTCATTTGAAAACTTATCTTTTTAACTTAGCTTTTAGTTAGGGGTATTCTGTACATTATCTTTAACTGTACGTTCACTTATTTTTATTTAGTTTTCTTTCTCTCTACACTGATCTCACTATACAGTTGTGTGAGGGTGTGTGTCTAAGAGTGTGTAGTCATGCCTTCATTTGCTATTTGCTTTTATATATGTATGTTTTATTGTTTTTAGTTACAACTGTAAAGCACTTTGGGCAGCAACGTTGCTTTTAAAAGTGCTATAAATAAATAAAAGTTGAAGTACTGTGAAGACAAATGACATTCTTCATGTTTTATGTGGTTTGAAGCCATACGCTCTTAAAAATAAAGGATCCAAAAGGGGTTTTTCACAGCGATGCGATCCCAGACAGCAACATAGTGTCGGCCCACATCCGGTTCGTGTTGATTCCCCATGATGTACCGGATCTGGGCCGACACTATGTTGCTGTCTGGGATAGAAGATCCATTTTTGGTTCCTCAAAGAACCTTACAGTGATCAGTTCTTAAAAGTTATTTTATTCTTACATTTATTTTCCACTATAAAGAACCTTTTGTGGAATGGATGTTAGAGGTTCTTGACGGAAACGTAAATGCCAATAAAGAACCTTAATTTTTAAGAGTGCACATTTCCGAACAGGACACATATTTACAACGTGAAGCACCTCCATGAATCCATATTAATATGTCTGATATATATATATATATTAGAATCTTAAAACACAGAGTCCTGCTCTTTAAAGCCGTCGTCTTCAGGTTTGTTGGCATTGGGTTGGCTAACAAGTCTTTGGAGGGCAAAGTTTGGGTGTTTCCCTGAAGGTCTAGAAATTCAAATCAAGTCAAGTCAAATATATTTATATATTGCTTTTCACAATACAGATTGTATCAAAGCTACTTCACAGTATCAGTCAAAACAACTTAACAGTGTTTGTTTATTACTGGAAAAAGACATCCAAGTTTGGTAGAGCTGATCAGTGGTATGATGGGTCATTTAATTTGAATATCCCCAACTGAGCAAGCCAAAGGCAAATTCAGTAGCTTATCGTAATGTAAACCCAGCAAGCAATTGCCATCATTTCACCATCTCGGTTAACTATAAACCCGATATAGCTCGGATATAAGTAACCCACTTCTCGCAAAAATAACCTTAAATTTGGTTACATGTCGTTTTTGCCGAAATAACTTGCGAGATGTATGATACTCCATCATGTAAGCAAAGTCAATAGTGATGTCAAGGTGTTTGGTTTCATTTCTTTGACGTGTTTAATTGATCTTGGGCTATGGTTTAGACGTCTATATAATTTTCACTTATAGCCCAAATTTTGTCAAACAAATGCCTTGTTTAAGCCTAGACATCATGGCTGTGTTTAGACAGCTATTAGACGTATTTTAAACACAAGATTGCTTGCTGGGAAATGATCAAAACAGCTGAAATTGTTTACATCGCCTTTAATCAATTAATGACACTTATGTGTTCCATAGTGTGCCAACAAATCCCAATTCCCAACAACTTGCCAGCATTTATTTGATGTCCTCTACTGTTCTGGATATTCATTAAGGAACTATATTTAGTAAGTATATATCCAGGACAACGCAACTTCACACAGTTTGTTTATATCACATTTAGGTCCATATCTGACTGTGGTGGCCAATAAGCCTTGCCTTACTTATAAATGATCCAACCGTCTTTTACTTGCAGTTGTGTAGTGGGATACATACAACAGGAGATTTGCCATGATAAGGCAGGAGAGGATGCGACAGAAGCTCTAATGCTGTCGAATCTGTCACTGGTTTGCTGCTTTGAGCTGCTTCTGAATCCTCTCTCCCAGCTGTCTTTCCATACAGAGGGTAATGGAAACCTAGAAAGGAAAACACACAGCTTACTCTCAATAAAAACAACCCAAAACGTCTCAGGAGACGAGTGAGGGAATACTTCTGTGACACTCCCATCCTTTATTTGTAAAGCTTTGTACGGTAACCCCCGTTCTTCCATGCGAACACATGCTTTAACCCCACATAATTATTGACACTAGTACACTGTAAAAAAGTTAAATTTACGGTAAAAAACGGCATTTGTGGTTGCCAGAAATCTACCGTAAAAAATACGGTAGCAACATTTTAAAAAGCTATATTTCATTATCTGACATAATGTTAATTTACCAGCATATTTAAGTACTAAGTATCTATTTTGTACCATTGTAATACACTGATAACCACCAATCACAGTGGAGATGAGAGTCACATGATCAATCAAAGCTCACCATAAGCAGCTTTCCCACAAGATAGTTAATAGTAACATATAGAAGCTGCACAGAGTCATTCACACAAACACTAAACACCATCATGGTAACACACATGACATTTTAAAAATGCAGTAAACATTAATTTAACACCATTAAATGTAACATAAAACCCTAATGTACATAACTGATTAGAAAAAACTAAGAAGAAACAGTTATTTTAACAAAAATACATCAAATGTGAAGTGTCATGCAGGGAATTGTGGGAATGTCAATTTACGATTTTTCACTACAATGACATGTTCTTTTTCATTTCCAAAAACTGTATTTTACTGTAAAATTACATTAAATGTACGGTTAGATCTATCACGTTATTCACCGTATATAGTACGGAAACTTTCTGTTGACCAATTAACAGTGTTTCACTGTAGCATTTTTTACGGTGTTTTACCGTTAAAATCACGATAATTTTTTACAGTGAGTGTACCCTTCCACCCATGGTCACAATTGTGGTGTCATATTTACAGATGATTACCTGGGTAATTGTGCACCAGAGCTGGAGACATCACCCTGTACGCATTGCTGCTCGCCTCACACAGGTGTAAATAGGGGTAGGAGTGTTGAAACTGGAGGAAGGATTGCTGGGGTGACGACGCGGACCCTCTCGCGGTCTGCGAGTCTTCAGACATCTCGTCCACAATCTCGTCCCCATCCGCTCTGGTACTTTCCTCGGAGACCTCGGCAGCCGTCTCACACTTGACGTTCTGGAGTTCAGTCTCCAGCCTGGACTCGGACTCTACAGGCATGTGCCAGTCTTTCCCCTTGTCTGGACTGAGAATCATTTCCTCAGAGATCTTGTTGACCTCTTGATTTTGCTGCTTCACATATTTGGACTGATAAGAGTGGCTCCAGGACTGAGACTCTGAAGCCTAAACCCAGAGGAACATCTACCGTCAAACAGTTTCTGCTCTGACAACCAATGAAATTACACACCTTACAGGGAAGCCCTTTGTTATGAAACAGTAGCCCTGTGTTTAATGCGTTCATTGAAAATTTTAAAAGGATCAATATGATCTCAATCATCAAAGAATCCTGGCAATTCGATCATTTGATGATTAAGGATCATACAGAATTTCCACTCATAACAACATGCGTTGGACTGTTATCCCAGCATAACCAAGGACTTTTCTGGAAGTCTGTTAATGTCTTTAAAAGAACATTTCCTCAGTAAATGATAAGTAACATCAGTAACTTACATTTAGAAATGTTACATTTGTGTCCACATTTGATTTTGAGTTTGAACTCTCCAAACTGAGGTCTTCAGATTCCTTGAGGACCCCTTGTTCTTTAGTCATGGCATGGACATGAGACGGCTTTCCCTGCTGCTGCTGCTGCTGCTGCTGCTGAAATGACAGCTGCTTGTCCAACTCCACATAGATGAAGCCAGGTTTCGCACAGCTAATTTTAACAGAGTTTGCCCCCTTATGAATCGACTGAGGAGAGCTCATAAACTGTTTTTGCTCATCCTTCGTTCGTTCCTTTTGCTCAGATCCTCGCCTAACTTGACCTCTACTCTGCTTGCTATACTGTATTTCCTCACAGCACGCCTCACTGAGCGGCCTGTGGGAGCCGGGCATCATCAGAACCTTCTGGTCCACGGGAACACCCCGGCTGTACTGTCCGTAATACAAGGACTGAGCCAGCGCTGTGTGCGTTTCGGCGTACTGAAGCTGCGATTGGGAACTTGAGTGGCTCGACGATTCTGAGCTTTTTACATCCTCACTTGAATCTCTCAAGTCATCCTTCGGTCGACCGTAAGGTGAGGCCACCTTATGGAACGGTGTGGAATTGGCTTGCCCAGAGTGCATGTAACCTGGGATACAATGGGATTCATATCCATGGCCATGAGATGTGGACTGGACCTCTTTTCCTGGGGTCACCGTGCCAGCATTGGGAATTTTGGGATTGATGTTGGCGTTCGAATCTTGTGTGGAGTTCCTTCTAGATCTCGAGTTGGATCCACCGTCCTCGGCGGCATCGGATATGTCGGAGTATGCAGGACTGTTTGTTTTAGCAGCCACTCCAACTCCGTCACCGTTTGTAAGAGGGCCACAGTCCATTCTCGCAGAGCTCCCGATGGAAGGACTCGGTGCGTTGTCTGAGAAGGTGTACACCTTGTCGGCCTCGGCTCTGATACTCGCCATGCGGCTCTCCTGCGTTTCACCTGGACCGTTCACCACATCTTGCTTGCTCAAGTGCTCTTTCAAGAGGCTTACAGGAAAGTCTTTCCCGATGCTCTTGGCATCGTCCGTTTTGGTGTAAATCGGGTCGCTTTTGGGACTCTTGCAATTCCTGTCCTTTAACCGATGCTTTTCCTTTCTCTTGCTGTCTTTGCTCAGGACTGCGGTGGTGTTGGCCATGTTAACTTGTGCAATAATGTCCAGCTTTGGCTTAATGGGTTTCAGGGAGAGGTTCTTGGTTTTTGTGAGGGTAACAGTTGGAGAAGCCTGATGAGAAGAAACGTCCGGGATTTTAGTAGAAAATGCAGCGGGGGGAATAGCGGTCAGCTTCGGAGGAGCAGGAGCAGCGTTGATGAGTCTATTGGTCCTAGACTTAGCCGAGCATCTCTCAGCGAACCCACTTTCTTTCTTTACTTTGCTACAGATGTCCCTCTTATCAATAGCACCCTCCGCTTCAAGCTTAGGCATCTCGACAGATGTGTTACGATCCGTCATGAGGCAGTTCTCAAGGACGACAGACATGTTGGAAATGAGTGGGAGGTTGCTCAGATCGTCTATGGATCCATCCTTACTTGTCAAGTTCTGGCGTATTTTTGCATTAGCCATGGGACTGCTATCATTGTTGAGCAATGCTTTCCTGCTCTTTGGAGAACCGACTGCATTGAGTTTATAAATGCTTCTGGGCTTCTTGGAGACGATGTTCTCAGACGAATCAAAAGGTACAGAGCTGAGTGCCTCATCAAAATCTGAAAGTCTGTCTTCGCTTTCCACCTCAAACTCTTGCTTGCTGTCATTGTTCAGGTGAGCGTGTGACTGGTGGTAGCGGAGCCCGTTGATATGTTTGTACTTCTTGTTGCAGTTCGGATGTGGACAGTCTATTAGCATCGGGGAGGCGCAAACCTGATCAAGAAACACCGGGTCGGATTTACCCTGAGGGGTGGAAGGAGCACTCCTGGATTTGGCTCGTATCCTTTTCCCATTCCCATTCCGAATGTCCTCCGAGACCAAGCTCAAATCTAGATCCGCTGGGGCTTTGCTTTTTCTTTTTCCGCATATAAGTGGATTGGATTTGATGTCCTCCACGTAGTATCCAGGTGTTCTACAGCCACTGAGGTTCAGACTCCCTCGTCTTCCTTTGCTGCCGATTCCCACACCACGCCTCTTGTGACTTAGTCCTCGTATCTTGGAAAGACTTGGGTCAGATGGTTGATCTGGTATGCCAAGACGCATCCGTTTACCACGTCCACGTCCACAAGGCATTTCAGAGTCACTCATTGGTGACTCACAAAACCTAGTTAAAAACAACAAAGAGTCATGAGTGTATGTAAATAAACACATTTCAAATTAATGATCTAAACAGGTTTAAACTTAAGCCTAAAAGGGCCAGATTTACTAACAGCTTGTGTCACACAAACCCTCTTTTGCAGTATTTAAATAAATCATCCAACTTGATTTTACTGGAACTTTACTGGTATTTGCGCCATTATTCTAAGTCCCCCTGTGGGGAAAATCCAGCTTTTAATGTTGTTTATGTGTCTATGTGGTGTTTTTAATACGCTTTAAGACAAACCATGTGTAAGTTCATAAGTCGTGACGCATTGCTGAGTATTTTCTCCTTAAAACTGCAGTGAACCAAAGACAGTCTCAAAAACACGGTTTGAAATCGCTGGTGTTTCTGACGTCACAAACGACCTTGTAACCAATCAGATCAACGTGTGATCGTCAACCAGTGGATCTCTGAGCTGAGTGAGTGAGTGGAGGCGGGGCTCATTTGCATATTCATAGAACCACGCATACTAAATGAGGCGAGGGTGTCGAGTTACATTCAAGCTATTTTAAGGCAAGATTTTTTTAAAGGAAAAAACGTTTAAATATATGTCAATTTTGTGATCAAAGATGAGTTTTAAAGGATACAATTAATGACTACAGGAGGGCTTTAACACTCAAAAAAGCATGTCTTAACCCATTTTGCGCTCGACATACTGCGATAGTACCTTTGTGTTGCTCTTGGTTGATTGTGTTGGTCCTTATGTAAATGAGCTGCTGCATCCGTGTTCTTTAATTTGCACATTGTCCTACAGTACATTGACCTTACAGAACTTTCCTATCTGCGCATTTATGGGATTGCGGTCTCACACTATTTTGCCCTGTTTAGTAAATTTGGCACCTTGGATCTTCAGTACACTGCAAGTCAAGCATTCAAGAAGAAAGAAAGGAAGGTGTATTACCGTGGTGGAGCCCAGTCATGCTTGGTACAGTCCAAGAGAGTTCCCACATAGGTCCTTTTTCTCCATGTGACGTTCACAACTAGAACCCCTGGAATCAAAGAGAAACATTCACAGTAATGAGTACCTCTGAAATATTGTGTAGGAGAAAAGAAAAACAAAACCTAGATTATTAAAAAATTCCACAA